ATACTAGGACAATCTAGGAAGGAAGGTGGATGCGAGGGAGAAGGTCCCCAGTCCCCGAAGCACTACTATCAGCCTTAATCAGTGAGTGGTGCGTGACGAAGATTTTTCGATGCTATCCTCGGATGTTGATAGTGGAGAGTCGGGAGTCTAAATGTATGTTTATATGTGTTGTATGTGTCCACTCCTGGGAGCAGCAAATTTGGTTTGTCATTTTTGTTTGGTTGACGAGGTAGGTTTTGGCGCGGTGTAGCCTCGATATTGACGAAGGCAGCTACAGCAACGCACGTCGACGTAGGCCATGGGCATCGCAGAGTTTCTTCTGGCTATCCCAGGTATATTGATTTTTTATTGAATACTTTTGGACAGGCGAAAAGGCCAGTTTTTGTTATTGTTTATGGCATTGCCAAATAGCTCAACCGAGGCGAGGCCAACACCAGCAGTAACAATCAGAAAACAGCAGTGCTCTTTTTTTTATTTCCCGAATTTAAAGGCCAGGCTCAGAACCACCGGCGATGGGCGATGCACCCGTGCTACTGGAGGGGTGGTGGGTATACGAACGCACCATGGTGCAACGTAACAGAGCGACCCTCTCTGCAGGGCGTACCCATCCACCACACGAGGTTTTCATCCCTCGTGCATGCTACCAGATCTGCAAGGTGGAAAACCATCCAAGCAGTCAAAGTGTGGTTTTGTGCATTAATAGACTACTCCAGTTACCAGTTTTTTCGGTAACCGGCCAGTAAAAACAGCTCAATCAATTCGAACAAGCAGACAGCAAACGGTCGCTGGTAGAGGCAAGTCGCGGAGGAGGCAGTGAAGTGACAGTTGTCAATGTGACAGTAGGGACGGCAAAGTGACACTCAGTGCGAGTGCACTATGGCTAAACGGTGCCTGAACGTTGGTGTGAGCTACCATGTCTAGCAGAAGCGTACCGTGATGTTGTGTGTGTGTTTAGTGAACTGTCGAGCAAATCATCATGTGGATTCGATGTAAATACCTCGGTGTATAGCGTGCTATAGTAGTGAGGAAAAGCTGGCTTTTGTTTCGTTTTTGTCAGTTAGAGTTTAACCGAGAGCACCACTCACTAGACAGAGCTGGTAGAGTAATCCGGGGTAGGGATTTGGCTAGAACGCTGTATAGGTTGGTTGGGAAAGCAAAACAAACAGGCCGGCAACACAACATACTTAGATTAAGTAAGCATTTAAGTCCTGCAGTGGCTTGAAGTGAGGAAGGTAGGATGACTGGAACTTCTATTTGCCTACTACCTCTATCGTCGCTATGGTCAAATGTGTACTGGACCCATTTCATATGGGGGGTCGGGGGGTAGTTGGGTTTTAAGTAGGACGGCAGCAGTTTCGCAAGTAAGGAATTTGTCCACGGACTGAGAAAAAGTGCGATGATGCGTGATGTTTCGCAGCTGCTCAGGAAGGCTGTTCCAGATGCGAGCGTAGTAAACTAAAAAGAAGTAGTGACGTATGTTTGTACGAGCTGGAGGGATACTAAAAGGTTGCAGGAGTTACGGAATTGGTAGCGAGGACGTAAGTTTACGTTGGGTCTAGCCTATGCTATAAAGGCATTTTTGTGCAGCAGGCGGTGTAGGAGAGTAAGATTTATCTTAAACCGTCTGAGCCATAGTTGCTCGAGGCCAAGGGTTTGGCAGCGAGAGCGGTGAGAAAGAGGGTTTGACCGAGGGAACAGCTTTTTCGTGAATAAACGTTGGACGTTTTCAAGTGCGAGCCTACAACACTTTGCTGGGCCCATTTGGAGTTACAGCCTCGCCTTGGACACTCACTGAAGCACCCACATTACTTGTCTCAGAGGTTAATAATATTAGGGATGGCATACCGTACACTAGCGGAAAGAAAGTTTTAAATACGTGTTAGTGAGCCTAAAGGCCTTAAGCTTTGCGAAACGTACATAGATATTCTAAAGAAAGTCCTATAAACTAATCCAAAAGCAATAAATCCTGTGATTGCCAGCGATCAACCGTTCAGAAGATAAACCAAAAAACAAATCTTGATTTGGTTTTGCGTCCTTTAAATGTGAGACAACATCTACGGAATGATCGATGTTTATCCCGTTCAATCGTTTAGTTAAATAATGTTTTTGATGCGTTATACTCGTCTGTCGTAACAAATTGAATGAGCCTGTCCGCCAAGCTTCGGCACAAAACTATTAATTGGGTAGCTTAACCGGCGTTTACTATCATAGCGAAGATAACTTGGTGGACTGTGGTATTAATGCAAGCATGCACCATTCTGAATGATGCACATTCTCAGTTGTGTGCAGCTAGTTGGGGGATAATCCAGCGTTTTCAGATGTCTGCACGTGAATTGCCAACCTACTGGTGAGCTATCTATTTCTGGAGGGCATGAACTATATGAGCTGGACTTAATCGCGTAGCACAGACATTACTAGAAAATAAAGCCAACCCTTTCATTTTATTACGATAGACATACGCGGTGTCGCTTACCCTGGCTATTTATTGTATCCAACTGGGCCCGTTTCTGTGTGCCACGTTGAATGCGGCCTCAAATATGCAACTGCCGAAGACTGTGTGCGGCTCTTTGTACTCTTACGCGCTGTCCATCTAAAGTGCCCACAGTTACAAAACCAATATTGGCGAATTATACATTTTATTCTTTGAATGCATTGACAGAAACGCAGTGTGTAGTCATCCGAGTTCTCGTCTCCCACAAACAACTTTTGCTCGGAGGCCTTCTGCACACAGTGGACAACCACAGCAATAGGCGTGATGTGGTGACCGGTCCTGTGGGCGCCAGAATTCGACAGGGTTGGTCGCCTGGTCACATAATCCACATTGGACATCCCATTTTTGTGTAGACTGCCACTTAGGTCAGAGACGGTCTTCCCACAACACCGGGAACGTTGACGTAAAGTCAGCTGCGTTTGTGCGATCACAGCTTCACGCTATCTATGACCCAGAGTTTTCACTTTCGTTGCCCAAATGCACAAGATGCTTGTGCAAACCTATGTGTGATTGCTGTGGCGTGCGTACCAGAGAAAAACGTGTATCACCATGTGGTAGGTTGTATCCCGTTAGCTACCGCTAGTGAATTAAAAAACAGCCCAGGATGTGCATATTTGATTACCTAGCTAACTGTTAAAAAACGAGTGGCCTGTGAACACCGGAAAAGAGTGCGTTCAGGATAGCCACGCGAACTGGATAAAAAGTGCGCGTTCAGGCACCAGAGGAGATGCCTAGGTTTTGAGGACATTCTTGGGTTTGAATCAACAGCCAAATGTTAACATCAATGTATTCTCCCCCTTCCTCCTCTTTTGCCTGCAGCTATGAACAAATTATTCACCGGGTCATAGCCGTCCCTGGGATGATTTTGCTCTAATTTACCGAACCCTTCTTTCGGATATAGCAATCTCAATGGAATTTCTTTGTGTGCTCCCGCACAAAGGCTATCATTTTCATTACGGTCTTGTTACTAACTCAAACTCCCAGGTAAATTTTGCACCCGGCTCCGCCCCAAAAGCGACGCCAGCGTGTCTGCACATTTCCACAGCACATCGTGATTTTGTGATTCCAACTAAATTTTATTTGCATTGGAAAATATCAGGGTAGATATCAGGGGTGTAGATAGATTTTAGAAGCGTTCACTGGTTTTGGACAAGTGATGCAGCAATGGAGCCAGCGCACTTTCATGAAGTGTGCTGTGCCTCAGAATCAACGTTCTTTAATTATTTAAATATCTATTTTCAAAAATATTTTTGTGCTTTACTTCTCTGTATAATCTCCAGGTGCTCATAGTGGATCACTGTAACGACAACCAGGAACTTCTACATAATTGCCAGGCCAGCACCTTGCAGCATTCTAAATTTCACAGCCCACCTGAAGACAGTATTATGAGCATGTGCTACAAACGCTGCATTTTGTCTCAAAGAAACGCACACAGGTTTTGCGAATAGAGAAGGACAGTCGGGTTATGGTCAAGAGCACTGCAAAAACGACAGTCCATAAAAAGCGGCCGACTGAATGCATGCCAGCCCTCGTAGACAAACCGGCCAGCAGGCATGTGTCAACAATTTTTAGAGTCTTCTATGTCCTCACGTGCGGAATACGATAAAGGAGGGAACTCCAAGAAAAAGAGTGGGCCCACCCTGTCAAATGTGCGCCGAATACAAAATGCCGATCACGAGGTCCGGAGTATGAAGGGAAGGAATAGGAAGGAATCCTTACTCCCCCGACCAAAAGTCATATTAAACTGCACCGATATTATGGGGTGGAATAAGCCGCTTACCGATAACGACCAGGCAACAATGACGGATAAGGTAAACACAGCTTAAAGCACCTGAAGCTGTACTTGACCTAAATTTTCACGCTCTGTTGGCAGTAGATGGAATTGCACACCTGCAGTGTCCATACAAGAGGTTAGCAACATAAGATTCTTACAGGAGTACGGCGGAGATCTGTGACAAACGAGGCGCCAGCAATGGTATCGGGCAAACTAGGGGAAATTACCAGAAGCGTGATTACATATTCTAACTGGGATCCACCAACTGATTGTACAATAAATGACATTCAGACGTTTTCTAGACACACACACACGCTGCTTTCTTGCAAACATCCACGAGGGTACGACCACCATGCGTCCTGATCCGGATTAGGTGGGAACTAAAATTCGACGTTTCACATTATGGATGTGACGATTGGAGGTACAGGAATTTTGATGGCCGACTGAAAACTAGAGGACCAGTGCGTTTCCCGGAAATGGTGGCATAACAAACCATTTCTACCAACTTATGGCTCAATATTCGGATAGAATTTCTGAGCTTACTGTTTTGAACTGGTGCACGCAACTCCATATACTACGATACGTTACGTGAACTTCTTTCAGTCTAGCCGCCATTATCAAATGAACCGTGCTCACGATAATTTGTTACCGCAATTTGATTGTGATGATTGGTTTATCTAACTGAAAACCTCACTCTCACTACACTGTCCATGAGAAATATTATTCCTCCTCACGATGAAGTTTGCTGTGAAGCTGAGTGCTCATTTAACCCCCGAGTGGCGCAAACAGTACATTGATTATGACGTAAGATACTGTCGAGTAATTCTTAATACTTGTAGGGATTGAAAGAATTTCTGCTCACCTATATCGACAAGCGTACGAAGGAACTAAAAGGTTTGATATAGATTTAGTTTAACACCGATTTACTGAAGAGTGGGATGCTGAATTCATTTCATTCCTGGACGAACAAGATAAGGAGTTCTTCGAACTATGTTCAGCGTCATTGATAAAAGTGAATTCCTTTTTCGCAGGTAGACTGTTTCAGGATCGTTAATAGGTGTTTTTGTCTAGAGAAGTTGGCTGAGTCCAAGCGCAAGTACGCGACACTACTGGAGGAACTCCAGACTTTCTTGGACCCAGAGCGCAAAAAGAGTGGACTGAGACGATCTGTTTCCCGGAAGTACCGTGAGTCAATATCGAGAAGTTATGCGGAACTTTCGGAGGATCAAGGAAGAGATGGTAGTGAGGCTACTAAATTTGAAAGCCATGGCATAGAAGATGCGCATTTACGACGTCGCGTCAGGTATTCTTCCTCTGAGCAACCTGGCAGGAGAATTTCAAAAGCCTCTTACAAAAAGGAGAAGACTTACAGAAGGCTACACGAGTTCAAGCTGGCTTTTAGCGAGTTTTATCTGAGTCTTGTTCTGTTACAAAACTACCAGATGCTGAACTTCACTGGCTTTCGGAAGATTTTGAAAAAGCACGACAAAGTAAGTAACCATTGTGTAACTAGTGAAGCAGCGCTTTGTTTTTTCCGGTCTTCTGAAAAACGGAGTTAACATTTTAATCACACAGCGGCGTGGGCACCGAAATTACCAAAAGACTGTGAAATAATCCAACAGAAAATGAAAATGTCTTTAAGTAGGATGAACAGTCTGTCTAGAAACACAATGATATTCATTCTCTCATCTAAAGTGCCAACAACATTGCCGTCTTGCTGTTCATGCTGCTCAGAATGTCATTGGTATGGAACATAAAACTGCCTCATCAAAAACCATACTTGGGCTCGGATCAAACCATGATGGTCCAATATCATCTGGTCGGTCCGCCGTTTGTATTTAGAGAATATTTGGTGAAAGTAGTAGGCAGCGGCATCAAGTGATCTTTCGAAGTGTTATGGAAGCACCAAGTCAATATGAGATTTACCCTAAAGATCTTTCTAGGGTACATCTACGTACGTCTGCGTCTATACGGCTTCCGTAAAAATGAGGAAAGCGCGCGAGCATCTTTCCCCTCGGTATCAGAAGAAAGATTCCTCCATTCACACCAATATGATATATCACCTCACAGACCGCAGAATTCAAATAAATGCTCATGAAAGTACTAGTACATGAGGACATTGGTGTCTCGCATGGGTGTGTTTTTGGCCCATAACTAGGAAACGTGTATACTTCAGCCGTTTACATCCGTTTGCGCTTTCAATTCTTCGGTTTGCTGTGGGAATCATACCACAGAGCGAACTCGTTTAAGTAGGAGAATGAAACGATGTCCACACCCTTTTTGAGGCTTTGCAAAATTGGTTGAAGCCTCTGCATGCACTAATCAATTTATTGCCTAAATAAGTTTAGAAAAGAAAGACCCGGAGAAATGATACTTCTTAGGAAACTCTTGACTTTTGTGCATTCATACATTTCACCAAACGATGAGAATATTTGTTACATCCGAATAAATGGTTTGTAGCGTACTAAGCCTAAAAAATGGCCAAACACCAGTGTTTTGCCACCTGTGGATGAATACTAACATGTCTCAACAGATATCACCTAGTTAGCAGATCTAAATGTAATGTGATTCTCGTTGACTTCTAGCTGTGGAAGTATCCCGAGCAGTCTACTAGAGCTGCAAACGATGTAAAATGCCTAGACATAAGTACAGTGAATATGACATCCGTTGATGAAATTACTTGCACCGGTCTGAATTAATTATAATGATGAAAATGATGTGGGTTGGGCGATCCGCACAGATGAGTCATTTTCATCCTTCTGACAAGGCATTATTATGATGGATACAGTTTGTAAATCGGCGTTTGTGTTTGTCTCCAGGCATTTCGCACATGTCAAATATTTTATTGCAATAACTGTGACACAGGTTTCATCTCAAAGCTTTTACTCATTGACTACTCAATATTCACGCTGTAAAATTTTGCTCACCAATATCGTCCAGCTTCTTGCCTATGCACAGATTCAGCACCTATAATGATTTTAAGTCAGTCAGTGGAATTCTTCTGAAGCAGTTTTATTTTTTGTATTTACGAGATCTGTCTTGCACGTGCTTATCCACAGTAAACAAGTTCAGCGTTTTGTTACTTTGAAATTCAAAATTCAGAACGCTTTAGTAACTATAGGCGACTGCGTATTTACAAGCAGAATTACTGAAAAACTCTGGTTTATATGTATCTGGGTTTGCGTAGTGCCGACAGACTTGCCGAAATTCTGATTAAGAATAGCCGAATTCCGGAAGACGTTGCGTGCAGTTCGTTAATTAAAGCCATCGCTCTACTCTATTTTTTCTCTCAGTCCTGTATTTTAACATTACTTATTATTGTTCTGTATGGTTTGCAATCCGGAAATTATGATATTATCAAGCATATTGATGTTCTGTAACACTGGTCTTCTTCTTCGTAGCTGTTTCGTCGCGCCAACGGAACAGAGTGGCGGAAGGCGAATGTGGATGGAGCAGAGTTCAACATTAATCGGGAGATTGACGGATTGATTACTAGTGTTGAAGTAAGTGATACGGATAGATGCTTAATGAATTTTCCTCTGGCAAAGATGCTTAGTCTTGGACAGAGCTTACCTTCTGGAGCGACGGCAAAACTTATCTTCCTCGGCATATTCCGTTGTATATCTTCATGCGACGGGAGAGCTGTTACACACGTTTTTAATTGTTTCATCGCACAGCTTTGGAACTTTGCGAGGTTATTATGTAGTGAGTTGGCGATACAAAACAATCATAATTCTTTCAAAAGGCCAGTGTAAGCCAAACTGGAGGGTTATTGACACCATGAATCTAAACAGGCTGCACGGGTATAAAATTTACGTCATCAGCGTAGAACGAAGTCTGTCTTTTACAGTCAAACTAAGCAGTTCATACCTAATCAAATGGTTAAGTCAAACGTATTAGTCGTGCAAAGCTTGCAGGCTGATCGTTTCAGTTTATCATCGTGATAAAAAATCACACAAACATGTCGTGGAGCCAAAATTTAGAGGATAGGACTGCTACTTTTGTGTGAATAACGAATAAAGAATGCCAGTCACTTATCAAGAGATTTACCACAATTTCTTCCCTACCATCAGTTACTATCCATAGAAGGTTAATTATTGGCTATTTTAAACGGTCGGTGAAAAAAGTGGATTGGCATTTAGGGTGACGGAACCAAAAGGTTTCGGTGACTGTTGTCATTGGGTAGAAAGATAGTGAAGATACACTTGAGGTGAAAACACTGGAAGATAATGTGCAGAGGAGCATCGAAAATACACAAGAGCCCTGCACAAACTTTGTTACCTATATATAGAGCCAGTAAACTCTTTGTGACAAGGGCATCAGCGGTTAATGCTGAAGCTCATTTTTTGTCCTGGTTATAACTAGGTATTTTCATAAAGCCTTATTAAGCAGCAATTAACTGGAGAAAGGAGAATACTAGTATTAAGCCAAACGTGGTTCCTAACAATTCAAAACCAGCTACTTTTGGGTCGAATGTTTCGTATAGAGGCTGACAATCAAAGCGCAAGTGAGGTGATAAAGTGGATGTATTTTTCTGACAAATGCATCAACACAGACCTCCGTTAAGTAAACAAATCATGGGAGGTTGTTTTTGGTTGTATTCAAACAATTCCGTGCAGTTTTTGCTCACTACGCAATGAAATAAACATGTTGAATAGAAGGATGGACTTTCATACCTGTGTTACAAGTGGCCAGGTGACCACCGTTTATTTTGCTGGTTCAGCAGAGCCTCCTGGAATCCATTCATCTTATCACAGGAAGTAGCCGGCAGAAAGTAAAATGAGGGAAAAGTCAAGTCTAATCACCAAAGCGTCTTGAGTCCAGTTGCCCATAGTGCGTTCTGTACAGTGTGTGCCTCTAAGTTACTGGTGTCAGTTGATTGTATTGTGGAAATCTACTGTACTATTCACCTGAGCCTCTGTTTATAAATAAAATGTGCACAACACCAGATGAACCGTTACTGCTGACTTAGACAAACGTCTATTATTACGCCGGCTACTTACCTTACATTAGTATTTGTATCTGATGCCAGAGTATGACCAGGCGGCTGACGAGAACAGACAGTCACGTGAAATAATAATAGCAATAGCTGTGTTGATTACTCCAGCTAGTCATAAAGCAATCCATCCAAAAATACATAGGGTCTGTAATGTGCAACTATAGTGCAAAGCACATAACGCTTCCGTCCACGGTTTAACTGATAGTGGGAACTCTCTGTGCGTAGGCATAAGCACACTCTTCAATAGAGGTTTGGAATGCAGCTTTTGCTTCGTAAATGCCACATACACTTGCTGTTTTAGACATCAACCAATAATTCAGTTTAGGGTATGACTATCCCTCAATCTCATGTAATTAACCAAAAAGTATCGCGGGAAAGGGGACGACTGTGACTTACACTGTTTAGCGACGATGACCACCCTTCAGAAGGCCTGACTTATTTATCATGACAAGCGATGAGTTAGAACTTCCAAGTGTTTTTCTGTATTTTGGTTCCAAAATGTAACCTATTAGCTAATTAGATATTCATCAAAATGCAATCATGTTTTAGTACACCACCCTCCGGAATGAACCCTTCATCTTGCTAAGGTAGACGTTCAAAATTAGTGAACACCTGACCCCCGTGTAGAACCCCTTAGAGGACGGAAGACTACTCCACTCTAAATCGACCGTCAATCGATCGTCACAGCCAGGACAGTTACTGGGTCGTCGTTCGATGGGTCGGGTACACCAATCACATCGCTCAAGCGTGAACTTCATAAATGCCGGAGAAGAAATGAACAGCCATCTAAATAGCCGTGCAATGATGACGTC